GAGTACGCGCTTGGATTTTAATTACACGAGGCGTTTCGAAATTAGTTCGTTAGAATGGTAAGTAATCGTTTCTCGTCATCCATCTACGAAATCGTCGCGAATCAAAATAGCCGCTGAAAGCACGTCCTGGCCGTCTTCAGCGGATCGTTAAAGCCCGCGACATCATCCGCAGATGTCATCCATTAGCCAGCGGATCGCCGAGCCGCGATTATCTCACAAGTGTCACCAGAGCCGAATGTACACGGAATACTCGAATCTTCTTTCTTCTTTTTCCAGGTACTCATCGCTGCTGCGGTATGCACCAAAGCCGGGAAGAGTAAGTAAAAAAATAATCCTTGACGTCGATCCTGCATGCGGTATACGTGTCTCGTTTTGATAGCAGATCGCCCGGGGCCAAATTAAGATAATCACATGATAATACGTGACGTTTCTTTACTCTATTCGTTGAGAAATAAATAAAGTACTAATAAAAAGTGTTAGACGGTCAATTGTATAAACGAAGATCGTACAAAAATTTTCTGTCATGCTGTTTATTTGTCAACGTAATTTTTAAAAAATTTTATTTGTTTTATACGATTAATTCATGCGATTATTTTTTTCAGCCATAATTTCTCGACAGTTTGTCGAAATGACAAAGGCGAGAATAGAGGGCCTACTTGCTGCATTCCCGAAATTGATGAGTTCGGGTAAACAGCATACATTTGTGGAAACTGAATCCGTCAGATATGTTTATCAGCCCCTTGAGAAAGTATATATGCTGCTTATCACGACTAAGGCAAGCAATATTTTGGAGGATCTGGAAACTTTAAGGCTCTTTGCAAGAGTGGTAAGTAAATTAATCCAATATGAACACAAATCATTGTCAACAAATTTTGTTATGCGAGAGCGCTATATGTATAAAATACATTTGAACCTTACAGATTCCAGAATATTGCAACTCGATGGATGAACTTGAAATAGCAGAAAATGCGTTCAATTTAATATTTGCATTTGATGAGATAGTTGCACTAGGCTATAGAGAGAATGTTAATTTAGCACAAATCAGAACTTTTGTAGAAATGGATTCACATGAGGAGAAGGTTTATCAAGCAGTCAGAATGACGCAAGAACGCGAAGCTAAAAATAAGATGCGTGAGAAAGCTAAGGAATTGCAGAGGCAAAAAATGATGGAAGCTAACAAGAAGGGAGGAATTAAAAGTCCTGGATTTGGTGGAGGATATGGAAGTAGTAGCACTCCAGTCACTTCAGCTGTCGGCGATACAGCTAATTTTGTGCCTGAACCAATTAGACCTTCTTATAAGCCCAAACAGTACGATCAATTCTAGTTTACTAAACTGTAATTATGTATACAAATATCACTCTCTATAGTATCTGATTTTTTTTTTTT